TGCTTACTTATATTTCCTACTGACAAGTTGTATGCTATTTGCAACCAACAGTCCAATAATAACGCCCTCTGAAACCTTTGTCTTTGTCTAGCAGAGAGAGATAAGACTGACGCTGGAGGTAAATGGATGGTATATGGGTTAGGTTGTTTATAATAAAGCTTCATTATCTTGAAGTATTATGAATTCTCAGACTATAAAATATCTTCAAACTATTATATACCTAGTTTTAAGGTTTGGAAATTGTTAAAATTTCTAAAAAACTATAGGAAGGCAAAAGAAATGCTTCTCTTACATCAATTTCCATTACATTAGAAATGTACTTTTTTTCATGTAACCTGCCTCTATGAATTAAATCAAAGAGCTTGGATAATTACATTCAGAGTTCATGAAGGACAAAAAATAGTAATATATCCAATCCATTTGAAAGTGGTATGGTTTTGGCCTTAGAATTTTATTTTAAGGCCAGATTATGAGGCTGCTGCAAACCTGGGAAATCTATCAGATGCATAAGATGAAAACAGAAGAGAGAAATATGAAAAGACAAAAGTGGATACATTTTCCATTTTGTACAACCATTCAGCAGTAATGTAACAAGATTCAGTTAACCACTGGTTAACTAGTTAATCATACAAAAGTAAACATTCAGATTTCTCTCTCTCTACATGAATCACATCATTAATGTGACTTCTAGACATTTTGGTAAATTAAAATACTTGCGTTTGTTAAAAACTAAAAGTGCTTTTAATTATAAATTACATTAATTACAATTACAGAATCTTAGGCACTTAACTGAAATTAAGGCATGGGTCACTGTAGGCGTATTAAAAATGGTATAGAAAAGTAGTTTTATCAAAGTATCATCAAAGACTGAAACAGGGTGCCTGGATATGTTTCCTTCTCAGTGTACGATTACTTCGTCTGATTCTTTTAACTGCAATCTATTTGGATGGCTTGGGTAGGATGATAATAGACAGCTTTTACACAAACACAGCTTTTACACAAACCTTCTCCTGAGACATCTTCTGAGTGATGCATTAACATGTTAAAATCATGAAAAATCTTTCCAAAATTACAATGATATACATACCCTTCCAACACAAAAGCATTTGTCATTATCACTGATGGCATACAGTTTAACATCATTTCCCTTTCACAGAATTATTCAATTACAACCAACACTACGACTAGTGACTCAATATAATTTCTCCCAAATTCTCCTAACGTGACCAATCCTCTATGTATAAAAAATGTATACCATCAATTTGCATGACAAAGAGTTCCAGTATCTAACAGGCTTAACACTCATATCTCAGTCATGGCTGCCTGGCCAGGAAAATGAACATCATGATGGACTCCTGCATTCTTCACATTGTGCTCATGGACAAAGTCAGTGTAGTTTCTATGTGCAGGCTGGGGTGGGGACAAGGCCCTTGTGTTCCACTGGTTTCCACCACGTTGACAGCAGTCACTGGCAGCAGAGAGCCTGGATGGTTGGGGAGTGGGAGGGGAGCACAGTTAGTCTACAGGAATAGGAGAAAATGAATGTGTAAGAGGTAACAAAGGAGAAAGGCAGTGTGACCAGCATGCACCACTGTTATGAGTAGTTATTGACATCTACTGCATGCAATGACATTCAAGAATAAAGGGAGGGGGGAGGACAGAATCAACAGTTATATGTAGTAGAAAAGCTCAATATGGAAATATGAATAAGTAATCAGAGTCAGTTAAGTGAATTAAATAGAGGAAATTTCACCGAGAGCAAAACACTCTATCTGTCCCTGATGCTGGTATCAAAATCAAAGGTAGAAATGTTGTTTGAAGTTCTAATGAAAAGGAAAAAAATATTTATAACTGACTTCACTTAGATATTTAAAAGGACAATTTGGGGTGCCTGGGTGGGTCAGTTAAGCGTCCAACCCTTGATTTCGGCTCAGGTCATGATCTCACAGTTCATGAGATGGAGTCCCGTGTTTTGCTCCGCACTGACAACGAGGAGCCTGCTTGGGACTCTGTCTCCCTTTCTCTCTGCCCCTTCCCTGGCTCATGCTCACACACTCTC